CCCACCCCCCCTCCATTCTCGCGCAATAATAAAACAAACGAAAAACATGTAATTTTAAAATTAAAATTCAGGACCTGAATGTTCATAATGTTGGTGAGTGATGAACATAGCACTCAGGCAAAGGGAATCTTTTTCTTTCTAAAACTAAAAGTAGCCTAAATGATGTCTAGTAACAGTCTTGGGTAATCTTGTAGTTTCGTTTGTTTAAGTCCACGATCCATTTGTTTACATCCGGAGAAGAAATCCTTAAGTCTTGATGACCAAATAGGCAACACAAAGAACAGGGATGCAACCTAACTGCAAAACATCAAATTACGGTAAAATTCAGGGGGGTGGGGGTGGGGGCATACTCCCTGAACCCACCCACCTCCCTATTTTTTTTTAGGTCAGGGGACCTACTCTTGACTTTAAACGAACGAAACTACAAAATCGCCCCAGTCTTGATCTCATGGTTAATTTTTAGGTTCAATTCAAACTCGACTAACTAAACTAATTACAGCTTACTGGATTGTCAGATGAGAAAGCTGGGAGTCTCATTTGAATAATTAATGAGTTTTCAAAACAGTCTATTTCTCCTGATCTCTATTATTTTGAGCAGTGAACGAGTTAGAAGGTTAATATTATGTTCTGTAAGAAGTCACTTTTTTGTGTGGATAAGTTTCAGCTTTCTAAAAAGAAAAGTTCATTTACATTTCTACACGTTTTTAGTTTTTAGGCCATGTTAAAGGAAAGGACTCGAGTGATCTACAGAGTACGACTGAGCATTAGTAGTGTGTATGACAACAGACAGGTGTGAGGTGTGTGCTGATGAATGGTTGGAATGACGTGAAAAGTAATTAGGACGCTGTCTTATTAATGGCTTCTCTGTTGTTTGACAAAGATTAGATGCCTGACAGAGTGGTAAGTTTTTGCTTTGATTCCCGCACACTGATGCACTGCTTCTAAGGGGGTCATGCTGCTGTATTATTTGCTGCAGATCTCAATATATAGCCACGAAAACTGTTGCAAGAAATCAATTATTTTCAAGAAAATTTCATGCTAAACTTCAATTTATAAATTAAAACAGGGGCATGCCCCCCCTGTAATCTCCCATATTTTTTCCCTTACTTCAGCACCCCCTCACCCCCCTGAAATCCCCCGATTGGTCCAAAGCGCAGAAATTAAGTTACTATGCAATTAGGCTTAGTGTGATAAAGTTAGATTATGAACCATCAAATATTTGTTTATCTACTACTAATTTGCGACTGAAAAAAAGTTGTGATATAATTGTTTTCAGCGTATGAATCAATAAGAAAATGTACACATTATAGTGTAGCTATGTAAAATGGGG